AGTGGCGATATGCCTGAAACAAGTAAAAACAAATTAAAGAACTGATGCAGAACTTATTTGCCAAATGAATTGTATAGCAACTGGGTTAAGTATAAGAAATATGTTGTATAAGATTTCAGTTAATTTAGGTAGTAAAATCTGWGACCCCCATTTTTAGCAGCTGTTAGCTTTTTTTTTCTGTCAGAAATCCTTCCCGACTTTCCAGTCTGAGTGCACCCAGACCACTGTCTGCTGCAGATAAGAGGTTGACTGTTCATGCAGTAAGAACTTCACACGCCTGATTTAAAAGGAAAAAAAAAAAAAGAAAATCCCCTTAGTGTGTAACTGAAAAGTCACAACTTATATATTTTTTGTCTTGCTCTAGACAGAGTAATTAACTGCGGTATAATGTAATTAATAGATTGCAAATAATTGTTCTAGCTTTGACAAAAGCAGGCTGTCTAATTTGCTCTACCTGGCAAATGCTTTTTGTTTTCTATTCAGTAGCTGCCGACTCAGCACACAGACCTCAGCCAGATCAATCTAACTCTTATTAGAAAAGCAGATGAGCAGATTTCAAAAAATGTCAATGTATTCCTCTCAATTCAGCTGCAGAAAAATCTCTTTATTCATTCACCTCCAGTCAAAGCTGACACTCACAAATGCATGTTGGGCTTTGATTTTGAAGAAGAACAGAGGCTTTTGGGCCAGAATAACATATGAAGGTCATCTGACTGACAGAAATGACTAAAACCTCAAGGCAGAAAGCTGAAGAGTCTCATGGCCGTTTTGTTCCAACTAATAAAAAGAGGAGTGAATAATGATGGAATTTCACAGAAACTTGCATTTAGACACCACTATTGTGTCAAAGCTCTGTTCCCTTGAGAATAGTTTTCAGGCATTAACATAAGTTTTTTATCTCTTCGTACTTATTCACCATCCCTTCAAGTGAAGCAGATGTTACATAAACTTGAATGGAAGAAATGTTCTTTGGTATGTGGTTTTTCTGAAGTTGTGAGGTTGTGTTATGTTTGGTGAACACTTCTCTTAATGCGTTCCAACTCTGTAACCTTGTTTCCTCGTTCCATATCTTGTCCTGTTTGCTGATTGCATGACTTTTCGTGATCACTAAATAAAAATCATAGGATCCCCCCAAATCTTTTACTGAATCCTCACAAATCTTATTTTTCAAACTAATTTGACTTTCTATTTAGTTTTTTTAGTCCTCACTCTAGTCACATTTTGACCCTTAAAGGCAATCATAGTCTGAGCTCATTGCTAATATCCAGTAATGTGCTCTTTTAATTGGTGCTGCTTGGTTGTGTTATGAAATATTCTAAAATACATATCAAGAAATAAATGAATCTTTTACTATTTTGTTAATATACCCTGATGAGCTAAATCATTCTCAGTAGAGTTTTAATAATTATGCATTTTCTGTCTGTGATATGCAAGAAGTAATCCAGAAATTATATTGTCTCATGGTTTGTTTAGTGGAACTGCTCAGACTCCATTATTACCAGTTATCAGGGCTGCCTGCGGCACATGCAGCACTGCACACATCTTATCTGTGCAGAGACAAACTATCCGAGTTATAGAATCTACAGCCCTGCATATTAGTGTCCTGGGGAATGAAAAATAAAAAATAAAAAAGAAACAGTTTCAGCAAATTCAGAACTCATCCAAATCAATAACAACCAAACAGCAGAGCTGAAGTGTCTTCATAAAAGCAAGGCCTGCGCCCCCAGTTAGCATTTGCTGAGTTTCTACTTTTACTAGTGAGACTAGGAACCAGCCACAATGTTCCACATCTGGAGGCTTCAACTCACATTTGAGGATTTACTTATAAAAAGGCCGACTGTATTTCCATAAATCACTGTAAAAAGGCCTACGGGCAGTGTCAGTTAGAGGTTGACCAATTAAAGTTTTTCAGCAGCAGAGGCAGATGCTGATCTTTAGAAATCAGAACAGTTGATATCTGGTTTATGGAAGCACAGTGTTTGTTGGGTTTTTGACCCATTAATACAATGGTTTAATGTTTATTGTACTGAAAAAGCACCACTGTTATAAAACGCCCTTCTTATTGAAATCACATTGAAAAATTAAATAAATAAAAGGGGTGTATAGCACCAAGCTGTGCTGATGGGGCCTGACTTTTAATTGGCTTAGTGTATTCCCATATTGCAAATGTTCATTGTTTTTAAAAATAGCATAAATTGACCTAATTAATCAGCCAACTGATCAGCTTGTCTACCTCTAGTGTCTCTATGCAACCCTAATATTTGATTGGATAAGGTCATTAGTGTTTATTTTAAAGTCCCAAACTGGCGCAAAAGAGGTGTTTGTGATTCATGGGGGAATTATGTATTTGCTAAAATTTAATAGGTAAATAGTTATAACAGTTTCTTGTATTTGGAATGTTATCAGGCCACCAAAAAAAACATTCCAATCCGATAATCAATAACTGATTACTGGAAGGAACGTGTCTTGATGTTGTTGTCAATAAAAAGCAAACATAATTCAGAGGAGCGGCTCGTCACATTAATAATAAATTAGCCATAATGATAGCTCTGTCTTTCTCGTGGGCTTGTTGCTGTTTGGTTTGAAGAGTTGGTGTTTAAAAATCCTCTCAAAGCTCATCTAAAGTCTTTGAAACAAGCCCAGCAGACCTATCCTATGGGGCTTTTATTTAAAAGGATGCCCCACGTTTTGTCCCTGTAGCTGCAGAATTGTTAGTGTCCTGACTGTGTCTGTCGCCTTCATTATTGAGAGGGATGACATTAATGTCGGGGTGAAGCTGAACTCACCTGCTTATAGGCAGAGGGTCATTGAAGCAATGGACAAAGCAGTATTCAAGGCCTTTCTTGTCAAATATTTGAGAGGACAACCTGCTGATGATAGGACGTGTTTTATTATGGGAGCAATGGCAAGGAGACTGTGTGTTCTGATATTGTTTGACTTTTTCTTTCAGAAAGCTTGAACGTACGGTCRGTGGCCATCTAGTGACATTAGATAAAAGTTTAAAAAATAAATTTGGCCACGTGATAACAATGCATGGACACAATTTTTTTGCAGTGTGTACATCGCGATACAGACATTGTTGGAGTCAGATTTTGAATATTTTTTTTGTTTTGAATTGTTCAAAGGTAGCCTACCCTATGCTCATTATTATTATTATTATTATTATTATTATTATTATTGGTTTATCTATCATATTAGGCTTTTTATAAGATGACAATTAACAAAGTGTGTGTCAGGAAACTGATTGTTTACTGTGTTCCTGAATGCAGCATAGCTCCTTCCACAGAAAAGGTACGGTGTGAAAGAGGCGCCCATTTTGAATGTTCAAAAAAAAAAAAAGAAAACAAAGCTTTTTGGACAAAATACAACTCCAGTCATCAGCTGCGTCTTTTACCTTCAGCATTTAATGCTATGAATTATTTCATGCCTAATGTAAGTGGCTGAAGTATGTCATTCATTGTTATAATCAAATGGAATGAAATTAATTCAGACTTGTCCATGTAAACAATCAACAATCTTTCCAGGGAAATGACGGCAATTATTATCTTGTGGCCACGGCATAATTAACACGTGGCCATGCATTATTTATCCCGGGATAGAAAGGTTTTTATCCAATGTCACTGGACGTGCTCCGTATAAAAGCACATTATTATATGCATTTTTTTATACATAAATTTTACTTCAGTAAGTTTTAATTTGTAATCAGTAGTAACACAATCTTATAAAAAAAATGCAATTTTAGCAGAGAATGAACTTACTGCACATCTCATTTTCTCACCTTGCTTGTGAAGCAGTAGCAGGTTTATTAACAGGAATGGTTCTAATGATACGTGGAACAATCCAGCATTGATGGCGTTTTTTCTCCACCACAGAGTAATGTTACAGCAACAAGTTTTTCTAATATCATGCAGCCCTAGTGGCAATTCAGCAATCATTTTGTTGTCGATAAGGTGCTCACGCTCAGACACACACAATCCCAGCTCCAGCCTTATTACAAACATCTGCACACGCTCACACTTTGGTTTCCCGTTTTCACTCCTTTTCATTTCAGCACTTCTATACAGCCAGTCTTGTAAAAATATTTTAGTTATCCTCCCACACGCTCACTTTGACTTCAGCACATGTTACATCATCTCTGATGATGGCACTTTGCTTTATTTATTTATTTCTTGCTCTGCCCGATTATCCCGTGAGAAGGGTTGTGGAGAAGCAGTTCATTTCATTTTGTGCCTTTTTGTCATTTCACATAGTTTTTAAGCCTTTTTTTAAGTATGAAGATAGATTCTAAAATCTATATTTTAGTGCTCAGGAACTCTGTCTACGTACTACATATCAACAAAGAACTGCTGGCGTCTTATTTAAAAGCTAACAAAACTCAAAGACCTAACTGATATTGTGACTGTCAGCTGAAGGGTTTGTTCTGGACTCTGATTGGCTCAAAGATGCCAGCTTTAGTAGCAAGTTTGTTGTGAGGAGTCGAGCTTTCCGCATCGCTGCAGGGGATTTTAGTCACATGGAGGCGGAGGGATCCCGGGGTGCAGGGAGATTTTTTATTATTATTATTTTTTATACTGGATGTCATAGTGGGCCTGCTTAAGACCCCACTTCCTGTCTTTGATTTTCCATGACATTTTACTGCGCACACAAACAAACACACACAATCTCTAACTCTGTCACACACACACACACACACACACACACACACACACACACACACACACACACACACACACACATTGTCACGTGTTGCTGTCTTTTCCTCCTACCCAGCCACTCGTGTGTCAGTGCCGGAGTAGATGCAAGCTAATTTTGAATCCATATGAAGCCCTATTCCTCTCAGCTCACATGTCTGCAGATCAAATAATTGTTCAGTAGACATATTTATTTATTGACTTACTCACAGTAATGGCCGAATGCTGTATTTGAAATGCAAATCACATTAAAAGAAATCTTCCACCTCCCTCCTTTATTAATGTAAATGCATTTCTTTGTTTTGACAGAAACCTTGGGAAGTCTGGCCTGCGGGTGTCCTGCCTTGGATTAGGTAAGAGCCTGAGTTTGACTTGAGGACTTAGGTGCAACTAGAAGTCCGTATGACGTATGTTTGGGCAAAATTTAAAACCCCGTCAGCCGTTCTCTTGACATATGGAGAAACGATGTTGTGCTCAGTTAAGAAGTTCCACTGTTGGTTTGATTTTGCTTCTGTCGATTATGAGATGTATTAAATGCAGAACATATGGCGTCGCTGCTCACTTGCTTGTCTTTGAGTGTTTTTGTGTTCTTGGACTCTAACCCCGCCTCCCTGTCCCCCGTCTGTAGGAACATGGGTGACGTTTGGTGGGCAGATAACGGATGAGGTGAGAGCAGATGGATTTTGTCATCCTCCATCAGTCAAAGCTTTGGGATGAAAACCCTCCCGGTGATTTGGCGGTTTGCTTGGGATGCTGAACTTAGTCCCAAACAGTCAACATTTAAAGGGATCCCCGATTAGTTGTAACATTAGAATTTATATGATAAACATATACTTTAACTGTAAAATAAAGACTGTAAAAACACTGTAGGATGTTCAATTTTTATAATTTTTAAACTAAAAGTTTAAAATTTTATTACACGGACGGGGCCATTTTATTTACACGCAAAGCATTCTGGTAAATGATGACGTGGATAGGTCCTCTGTGTGGGCGAGCTATATCCACCCTGAAGGTTAGTTAATCTTGGACAATATCTGATGATCGACTCTTTTAAATGAAACCAGAGAGCGTTG